TAAAATACCTTCCACTTTTTCTACTTCCCAGCAAATATATTAAAAATATCTTTGATGTAAAAAAGTGATTCGCTTAAGTAAATATACATATGTACATACATATGTACATAAACATAAAATTAAAAACATGTACATACATATGTATATGTATACATACAATAAAAGTTGGCTCTTTATTTCCGGGCTGAGGCGTGTCCCGTCGTGCCGGGCCGGGCTCCATTAAAATTCTTAAAGTGCGGGCTCGTGCGTGTCTTCGAAAGATGATTTTGCACTCGTGCCGGGCCGGGCCTGAAAATTTAGGCCCGTGCCGATCTCTAGTATGAAACCACCCTTTCCGATAAAAAAGAATTACCGAAAACGGTTTACTCAAGGCAAACAGTTTAGGCATAAAGAATTTTTCATAATACATACATACATATGTATGCACTCTGTGCTAGGGATGTTAATTTTTCAGCTTTTTCCGATCATGGGATTTTCGCGATGTCGTTATCACGATCCCGAGGCCCCGGGATTAGTTCCGGGATTTAGATATTCATTACTTTTCAACAACATAAGTCAAAAAAATTGCTTCCACGTTTTTTTTAGCTCTACCACCATAAAATAAATAATAGTAAATAAATGGGTTTAAACCTACTTTCTTGTTTAAAATGGCGTTTTTATTTTTTCTCTCTGACGTCAGGATTTATTTTAGAGGACTTTGTAATTTCAAAGATATGATTAATTCCAAAAATTATTTAAAAAATTAAATGCAATGTATAATAAAAATATGGGTACCAAATGCAAGAGAAAATTTCTTTAAAATTAAAAAAACATTAAAATTTGTTGGATTCACAAGGACGAATAGGTACAGGTAAAGGACGAAATTCGAGTATGTTATCGAGTTTATATAAGTCCTTAACCCATAATTTATTCCAAAAATAAATAATTCGAAATTTCAAGGATAATATTTGAAAAGTCCATTTTCAATACTTACTAGTCCTTCTGCACCAAAAACTTGAATCTGTTTAAATTCTACAGGATTTCCTCTTTAATTTGATGCCCATACTTCTTCTCTAAGCACATTTCTCTGAATTTTTTTATCATTTTAGAATTACTGACGTCAGACTTTGAAGCAAATGTTTGTTATAATTTGTTAAAAAACCTAAGGTAAAGTCGCCCTTGCCCATACGATTTAGCACATGCTTTTTTAGTTTTTCGCATTTTCTTATGAACGTATTATTTTGACTTGTGACTCTTTTGAAGGCAGTGTATAATGCTAGACATTTTTAAAAGTTATTAATTATTAAATAAAAAAAGAAATATAGCCAATACTGGTCAAGAAAAGGAGTTTCTATTATTGCCATCAGTGCAAATTACAAATCCCGAAAATCCCATCTCGGTCGGATCGCTGTTTGTATGACGTCACACTTGTGCAGCTTGTTTACGTTTTTCTTGCAAAATTTCGTCTGCTTCTTCCATTCTTGCTCTCGTTTCGGCATTTCTCTCTCGCAGTTGCACCAGTGTGACGTCTCACAAAAATTATTCTCAAAAATCTTCTCTGATAGGCGCAATCTTGTATTCTATCATTCTTGCATACTATAGTTGTGATCCCGTACGAGTCCGGAATAGTCAGAATTAGTCAGATTTTACTGGAAATCGATCCCGTACTCGGTTCTCTGACTATTGAGAGGACAAAGAAGAGAGTAAATAAGGTCCTCTCTCTGTAAGAAGTTACCAGTTTTAGTCCGAAGATTTTTTGCTGGTAAATTCTGGTAAATGTATCAAACGATCAGCTGTAGAGTGTTTGGCAACCGAATTGTAAACAAAAGAAAAGTGCACTCTGCTAATTCGTATTGAAAAGTATTTAATTACATGTTTAAGTGGATTCTAATAAATTTGAAAGTATTTTTGGTTATCTACATGTGTGAGCTGAGTGTGTTTACATACAAAATAAGCAAAAATTTACAACCAAAATTTGGAGGTTATGTTGAAATTGACAGAAGTTACTATCTTTTACTAGAAAGCGATCCCGTACTTTTCAATGTTACTCTCTCGCTCTGAGCGAATTTTTTATTTTTTGACAGTTTTACTAGTTTTAGTCGGAGGAAGATGTATGTTTATAAAAAATTATTTTTTTTTTTTTTTCTCCTTTTTTTTTTTTTTTTTTTGTAAAAATATTGTTAATACTACAATAAAAAACATAAAAATATAATTCTTAAATTTAGTGCAAAATTCAATAAATTTGCATACAAATTTTCAACTTTTTAATCAGACTTTTTTTAATTATGCAGTTTTGTTGCCATTAAATTAGTACAAAAAAT